TACTAAGCTCTAATTGTCTGACACTGACCCTACAACGTCTACAAAACATCAACTTGAAATAATTGATGTTTTGAAGTTGAAACCCATCCGACCCCACTGAACTGAGTGCTGCGCCTGTTATGGCATTCCGCTGGCTGACAAAGGGGTTGGGGATGGGGAGCAGGAATTAAAACCAAGAACAAATTATCAACAAACGCTTGTTCAGCGAATTGCGCTTGTGCGGCGCGTTTCTCAGAAGTCTAAGATGAACCCTATTAATGAATCAAACCACATGTACCAACCAGCAATTTAAGTGACCTAAGATGGAGACGTCTACCAAAGGACCCTGACCATGAAAGAACCCTGGAGCACTGAAGTAGATTGAACATAGGTGCCTGACCCTCGAATGGCCTCGCGATGATGCGAAGCCCTGCGGAGGGGTTGAATACCTAGCATGTTTGTTGCATGTTTGGATCACTTCTATCTATTCCTGGTCTGGTTCTCAGGCGAGTGCCCCTGTCAAATGGTAATGAATTGTTATCATTACTGCGACATGGTGTTCGCGTCAATCATGTCATTGAAGGGAGAGTTCCACGAGGACCTTACTGGGGGGGTAAATTTAAGTCGCATCAACTGGTGTAAAGTCGCCTCGCGACGGCGTGGCCTTGGGGGATGGGATCAACAGCACTTCACCAAGACAAATTCACAGACTTGTTCTTGAGTTGTTACATGTTGTTACTGTATGTGGGTTTACTGGTTCACCTCTCATGAAACCAAGTTCTGCCGCCCAAGAAAAAACGGTACAGGTATCTCGCAGGTCTGATGTGTGTCAGCCTTCTACTTGATGGAGACGCATGATGAACCAAGATGAACTCAACCATGTATGGGAGAGTCATTCCGTTGTCTATTTGGTTAACTTTTCTTTTGTTGAGTGGGGGTTTCACATCCCAACACTAGTTCCCTGGCACCATACAACATCATCTTCCAAAACGCGTGGGCATTGGGATACAACTCTGATCAGTAGTCCATTTTGTATATTCCAAAGTGAAAACCATGTAACGCATGTAAACTTACAGGCATGGGCTCCAAACAAGTCAATCTCCAAACACAGGTTGGGAACACGTGGCCCTGGTGATTCTTCCACGCGTAGCCATGCAGTGATGCTATTTCACACGCACTGATGTGACAAAACCCAACCCCACCCCGAAAAACAAAAAACAACCCGCCATCGCAGCCGCACGTCGCCCTGCGTGTGCAGTCCGACCCAGTCCGGACCACGAGGCGTCAATTGCAGAAGAGATCACCAGCAGAAGGGGCTTTGAGACGGTGAGGACGCAGCCCGGCACGGAACTTTCGATTGGGACTCCCTATCTGAGCCACCTCCAGGAAAGAAAACGACCTCAGAATCCGTTGGCTAAACAGGGGTTTGCCTGGGTCGCAATACACACCCGATGAAGTGGTTTCGCATGAAAATGGTCAGCATGTTTGCTCCAGATTTGCATATTTCTACCCCAGAGGTCCTGCTTTGTCCAGCCTTGGATGCCAAGAAAGGCATCTAAAGCTCAAACCCTCCACTGTGGTGCCTAGCTTGAACCCTCTAAAGAGTGGCCTCAAAATCGATGGAAACAGGATGAGAGGTGCATTCGTGGACCCGACTTCAAGTACCATTAGAACACATACACATGAACTGACTCCATTTAACAAAATGAATGCAACAAACATATCAAATGTCCGAGGTACTTTGTGACTCCTGGCCCGTCCAAAATCGTGTTGTGGTCAGATCGGAAGAATCCATTTTGCTTGCTCCAAATTTGCTGATCGGGCAAATGGGAAAAGAACCTACAAAGCCTATAGTCGTGAAAATAAAGGCGCAGAACAAATCCTGGGGCTGTAAGTCAGGGGTTGTGTGCACTGGAATTGATGCACCCTCCACGTTGTACTGTGAAAATGGGATCCAGGACTCTGCCAAAAAACAGGTCTATATTGTGCCCACTAAACTCATGTTCGTATGTTTGAGCTTTGACACGACATCATTAGACCATCCACTTCAGATCCATTCGGACGAGACTTGTTCTTCACTGCATTCAGGCTCCGACCCCTTGGTGCTTCGAAGGCCCGCCTCCCCAGCCACGGAGTCGACCCGGAAGCCTTTTCCGCCGATGAGTCGGCTCACCTGGCGATCGCCGGGCACGGCACGAAACACTCGTAGCGCGCGTGGAAGACACGGAGGCAATTGAACGAGGAGCAGCTGGATGATGCCACCTACTGGATTTGCGCCTTCTCGGTCAATCAGCACGCCACCTGCCGCAAAAGCGCGAAGGCTTTGCCCGCTAGATCCTGTGGGGAACCCGAAAGAGGATGACGAAGGTCGCTTCAAGATGTTGGGATGATGAAGTCAGAGGTTTCAGCCAGTCAAACGGTGTAAAACACTGAATCCTTGATATCAATGCGACTCTCAACCAGTCGACCCTTGGCTTGGATAATGATGAACAAAAACACGGTTCGACCGGTACTAGAGCGCCACCGGTCGCTCGAACAGCGCCACCGAAGCCAGCCAATAGAACTGCAGCTCCAAAACGCAGCTAAACCGGGCACTCGGACGGTGCGACGCTTTGGGATGACCGCCCTTCTCGCCAAGGCCAGCATTTGTGGAGGCTTCGGCCGCGAGCCGAACCGCGAGCTTCACCCGGACAAGTGGTGCCTAGACTCGGCAGGACTCGGTGCGTGGCGACGACGACGGTGGTCGTGTCCACGCAGCGGGGCCGGCGAAGCTCGGGGCGGTGGAATTCGGTGATCAGGCAGATTCCATGGATGGAGTGTATAGTGCACCCGTGACACAACTTGCAAGCAACCGATTTCCCCAGAGCTTCAAAAAGAGCTGCTGCTTTTTCAGCTCACGAGAATTATTTCACTACGAGGCCCCCCCGAGGGCAACGAAGAAAAGACTGAGAAGATTTGTTTGCTCCCGAAACTTTCCAGAGAGGAAAAGCACTGCGATGGTGAAAGAGGAAGCTGCAATAGCGACACCAAACTTGTTCGACACCTTGAGAGAACTTCGTGGGATCGCAACAGTTCATCCAAGCACTGGCACTGGCAACGGATGAAAAGATAGGACGGATAGGTGCCCGGATTCACTTTGGGATTCGCATGCCTTTTATATGCCTTTTGTCCGAGCTGCAAGAGTTCAAAATGTAGCGAATGTAGGAGGTTCTTCTAAAGAAGAGTAGCAATATGGCAATATATATTATGTCTATAGGACAGTCCTGGACTAATTAACAACCTCAGTATTTGCGACGTGGAAGTCCCCTCCACACCGATGTTTTCAAAAGTCCTAACAACTCCTTCGTAGTTCATTTTTGTTCCATGTCGGGGTGCTGAGTGGAGGAAGGATAGGGCTGCCACGTCCCTCATCAATGAAGCTGTTTTTGCCTATGACGCAACCAAGCAGTCCACGTCCTTTCTTTCACTTCGTAAGTGGACACAGCTCCTTGATTTGCCTGCTCAAAGGTCTGCCTGGTACAGCAGCAAATTTGACTCAGTGAGCAAAAAAGAATTTACAGTTTCTGGGCTGCACTGTTTGACCTACTCTTCAGTGGCACACCGTGGGCAGCGGCCTCCGGTGGAGTGCAGTACCATATTTATCTGGATTCGTGGGTTGCTTTCACCTGAGTGGGTAAAAAAGCAAAGGACCGTTTGGGCGTGGGCGTGGATTTGACGCGAATTCGTTGGCCCCCTGCGTGCTTTTCAAGTCTTCCATGTTCCAAAACCACCACGTCTTCCCCACGCGTTGGAGGGAAAAGACTGCTTCGCCGACTGCCGAAGGGGTCGATCTGGTTCTTCACCAACTGAGGTTTGCGAGTGTGAGCAGAAAAAGATCTTTAGTCATAAAGATCCCCACTGTGTGCCTTGGTGAATGATCATGCCTGGGAGCCCGAAGTGACCTTCTGTAGCTCAAAGGCACGGTGCTGAAGGACTCATTGAGGTGCTCATTCATGTGATTTCATGCGCCGCTTATGTGTTGAGCATCCTGGTCATACCAGTGCTTTGGTGAACCCAGAATCAATAGACCTACCAGGATCATCCTGTTTGGGTGTCCGAGGTCCAGTGCTTAAGCAGTGGGTAGATGTGGGTAGCCACACCCAGGTCTAGGATGACTGGATCTGCCAGGTTCATGGCCATTGGCCAGACACCCGGATCAGATGTAGCGCGACTTGGGAATCTGTCCAAGCCACAGCTCATGTTAAGCAGTGGAACCCGGATCAGATGTAAGATCGGTTTTTGGTCCAGGACATGTTGGAGCCTGGCATCGCATGGTGAATCTGATTCCATCTCATTGCGATTGCGCTTCTTTTCTTTCGAAGACGGGAAGACATCCAAAAGTCATATCGAAAGCATTCAACTATATATATGCAAATGTTCGGCTTTCTGGCTGCTTCTATATATTATGGATTGGGGTTGAAAAGGCAGACGTGTTGCATAGTTGGAAGATCCAGGTATAAAAGGTGATCCACTTGAGGCTTTGGGCAGGAGTGGCGCAGAACTTGGAGGTCTTTCATTAACAGACTTTGATTAGCTTGGCTGGGGGCAGATGTTTTCTCTCCACAAAGACATACGCTACTTCATTGGAAGTTCTCATTTGCTCGAAGGTTTGTGTCCATTTCCATCAGGACAGCTACAGGGAAGTTATGATCCTTGCATAGTTCAGCCTGTTCAAACATGGTTGGTCTATTGTTGGGCGCTATCACGTGCATACATGAAGCTACCAGATCTGTCCTTTTTTGTTTCTAATTCTTAGTGATCGAGTAACGGTGCAGACCTGGAAATTTTATTATCGTATGTGAAGTGTGAAGCAACTTTTACAAACTCCCCTCTTGAGTCCTTTTGATGAAGCGGCATCATCTTGCATGTTTTAATGTTTTATCCAGGGAGGGGACAAAAAATCCCATGCCTACTCCAGCAAATACCAAGAACATGCAGGTATATAGTCAAGACCTGGGATGTCTACTCAGTGAGTGGATGGGTTTTCCCACTTCAAACGAACCGGAGGACAGTTCGGTTAACCTTTTTGTCGCCGGAAAGCGGCTCTGGAGTCAGTACAGTCCTTCCACTTGAACAACTCAACGGGCGGCTTTTGGAATTCGAGATCCGTCGCTTCATCAGGAGCTCAACAAGTTCGATGATATGATGAACTACTTGCAGCAGAAGGATCGCCGCTCCTTGGTGGACAACTATGGCATACTATGACGGTATATACCTTGGATCTTCCATCGACCCTGCAGCATGTTTGCCTTGTTTTTGTTATGAAAACGGCAGACAATGCTGCATGTCGTTGGACGATCCTTTACGTAATGCGCAACTTCGCCAAGGTGAGGGTTCCCTAATGGAGAAGCGGACGTTCCCCCAACGACATCAGTGATTGATGGGGGTTTTCATTGGAGCTGCATGTCACCTTCGACATCGCAAGGCTGATTTGTTGCCGGTGTGTCGAGACCACCTCATGGTTTGGTGCTCCATCGACCAGTTGAAATGAGTGTGAACGGACAGGGGTGCGATCCAAACAGCGATCTGGGGTCTCCGCTGAGGGACCGGTCGAGCTGTTTTCACGGAGCGTCTGGGCTGTTTTCACCCGAAGATAGAGGGCGGTCCTTGGTCCCTCGATTCAGCACTCAGCGAACCTGGAGAGAGTCGCTCTTTGCCCATGTGGAAGTTGGTTTGTTCGTCACCCAGAGGAATAGGAGGAATGTTGCTGGAAAAGACGAGAATTCATGGCCTCAATGTACTTACAAACCCTTGTCCGACTTGTTGTGTTCTACACCAGCACTGGGGCACTCGCTGTTGCTGAAGCTTGAGCTCTGCGAACGAGCAAAACATGACGACACTGACATCTCACGCCCAGGCGGTGATGTCGGGGCCTTCGGGCCAACTCCCAAGCAGAACCGATGAACCTTGGGGTGCTACCCGTACAGTGCTACACAGCTGTTTTTGTCCATTTGTTTTCTTCATGTATAGATGGAAGATGATGGAAGTATACAGCTTACAGCAGTGTAAATGTCGTACATATGTCGTACTTGGATCTTCCAACTAGGGAAACTGTGGTCCTTCTGACTAGTTGTTATGGATGGACAGGCAGAAAACTGATGAACATTGTGCATAATTGGAAGATTGATAAGTATACAACTCGAAAAACATTGAACACATATGAAAGAAACGATAACAAAATCCACAAAAGCATGCTATGAAGTTTTCCAGAGTCTCCGATTCTTCGATTCATCCCATGTTTCGCTTCTTCGCCACGCCTCGCGCGGTCCACCGTGGCTTCGCTGTGCCACAGCTTCTTCGACGTCGACGTCGACCGCAAGGCTTCGGGCAGCTGGTCGTGGTGGATGAAGCGTTTGAAGTGCTGAACCGCGCTTGGTGCATCGCTGAGATCATGGCCACGTGGACGGAGGAAAGAGAGGGCGAGGCCAGCGGCTTCGTCTGGGGAGCAACGTATACAGTGTGGTGGTATCAAGGTGGTATTACATATCATCATGTCCAGTGTCCATGTGTTTTCATAACAGAAAGCCCTTCGGTGCGACTGGTCGGGAGTTGAGAACAAGACTCCCTCCGCGCCATCGAATCCCCGGCGACCATCCCCCAAAGCCCCCGGGACGCATCGGCTGTGACCGTCGTTCAGAACACGCTTCGGCGGTCGAAGCGAGCGGGCAGTGGACGGAAGCGGCGTCGGGATCTGTGCCAAGTCGGTGGACGGTTTGGGACCATCCAACGCCAAGCGTTAGGAGGATGGACAGTGACGTAATTGGAGTCGTCGAACGGAAATGGCCGTTCACCACGTCCGGGACATCTAACACGTTGCTTTGACCCGAAATGTTTTGGAGTCCATATGAGTCCATTTACCCATGAACAGGCTACGACTTGCCATGAACATTCCGGATATAATTAGTTAAGAATATATATCCTTTGTTTTGACCCGAAGACCTTGGTGGCCTCACTCGAGGGTGGTCCCAATCGAGGTGACCTTTGTTTTCGGTCCAACACTGTTCAAAAACCAAGGGGCCACTTCATGGTGGATCAGCATAGGAAGGAATGGAAGGAACATAATTACTGTACTTTCACACACAGCGGACATTATAGTATATAGTGCTGGTGTTGCCTTCATCCATCTTCATCCTGTCCAGGATCAACCAAAGAGGCCTATCTCCATGCGGCTCCGCATGGGGGGGACAAAATCTGCAGCTGCAGATCCGATCCTGCCTTCCGAGGAAGGGAATTCCTTGCATGAAGAGAGCAAATCCTGCAGTCAGTTTCGACGCTCGGACGTCGAAGCTGTCGAGCGCTGGAAGCAGCACTGGAAGCAGCGTTGAAAGGGTCGGTAGGTGCTGACTGGCTCAGAAGATGACTTGTAAGGTCTGACTTGTACCAAGAGAGGTTGAGAGAGAACTAGGACCGAAATCCGGTCCCAGACTTGTACAACTGTTCAACCTCTCTTGGTAGGTGACTTCCTTCCCATTGTGATGTTCTTCTCGTCATCGTTTGGGTGGGAGTTCCTTTCAGTTCCTTCGTGGCGCGTTTTTTGCTGCCGAAGTTTGGGGAACGTGGCCGTTGAGTCAAATCATGACATGCACGAGACTCTCTCGGCCTCAACGAGACTATACCAGGACCCTCTAAGGGGTGCCCTGTCTGGAAGCCATCCTAGGTAGTGTGGGGTAGTCCAGCCAGGACACCCCTTGGAGGGTCCTGGTATAGTTTCTTCCGGATAGATTGGCCAAGCACTGTTTGTACATGTTTGTACTGTTTGTGCTTCGGTTTGACAGACCATCATAGACCTTTTGGGATCACCAGGACCCATGAGAACATTCACATCGTCCAGTAAATTCTGCCCCACACTCCATCCTTAAAGCGATCTCACTTTCGCCATCCTAAATTCCGATCTCCATCCACCTACCAGAAAAAGATCGCTGACTTGATAACTCATCGCCCTGAGAGTCTCTCATCGCCAGAAATGCGCGTGAACGTCTTCTCACGGAACTCGGTGGACTTGCACTATGACAATCTGGCTGTTCTGGACGTGACCAAGTGCGACGCCACTAGCGAGTCACTTGGACCGATGTGGTCGGCTGTTCTCCTCGCCGAACAAAGCGCGCGGGACGCGCGGAGGATGATTCGCGTGTATCCGCTGGGTGGAATCGGAGGGCGCAGGACTGGAATTACAATACCCAGACACGACACATGGGACTGCCAGTCCGGACTGCCTTCAAAACGGCCAGGGGTAGTAGAACAGGGGTCTGTCTGGGGCGGCAGTCCTATCTGGCAGTGCCATGGAGTGGTCGGGAGATTTACACCTGAAATCTTCACCCCTGCATAAATCTGCCAGTCCTTATGGAGCGTGAGGGATGGGCCCGGAATTGACTGAATGTGCACCCTGAATGGGGCGGACCACGGACCTCTCATCACCTCTTCATCAACACCTGAAGCTTCCTTCGCTTTAGGAATACGTGTTAACAACACAGACGCGACCCGGGACACTCATATGGAGGGGTCGGACCCTCATAGGGAGGGGTCTGGGGTCTCAAATGGCTGTTTCGAGCATCTGGGAAAGTGCTCGTTCAAGCAGTATCTCCAGGTGTATCTCCCAGTTTTTTATTGAGCGAAGCTGCTCGAACTGAGGGAAGACAAGCAGTTCATCCTCTCCAAAGTCAGCGGGCGAGAAGACACTCCGTGAAAAAAAGCGTGTTGCGTTCGTTGCTCGAATGTTTATTACGAACGCCGAACGCCTATCCAAGAATTCATTGTTTTGGAGCCGACCACCGGTGCTTTCTGGGTGCTCGATATGTGCTGCGTTTCATTTGTGAAACTGAAGCAGGTTCGAATGGCGACCTACCAGGAGACATCAGCAGACCCAGTGGTGTTTGGACCCGATCGTGGATTTGTTGGGCATACCCTGTCACCGTCGAAGCAGACCTCGTCTAACGTCTAACGTCTTAGTTGGTGATCAATGTCTCGGGTGAGCCGATGGCGCAATGCAGCTGGTGGTACATCCGATGTCAAAGGGTTGAACCTGCACGACCGAACTCGTCATGTGAGAGACCGGCCCGTCGCCGAACTGCGAGAGCGACCCTGGTGGGAAGAATGAGATGGGGGGGGGGGGGCATTGGCGCCCACATGAGCGTGCGAGATGGGCACGTACCACCTGCACCACTTCTGTCCTTATAGCACCTGCACCCTGCAACGAAGGAATGGAGGGTGACCCAATTTGCACAAACAAATAATAGCCCATGTCCCATCCTGGCACCATACAAGGGCTCCAACGTTGGAACCCTTCAGAAATGGGATTCCGATTTGCTGGATCAACTCAAAACATCTCAAGGCCACTCTCCCAGACTCTCCCTTTCTCTCTTTCTGGTACCTGGGGGGGCTGGATATCCATCGCCTTGGGATCCATCGGTCCAATCCATATCCATCGCTTGACTCGGAAGGTGCCAAAAGACTTCTCCCCAGGGCTCCTGGCCCATCTCCTCAGGTGGTATTCGACCCCGGCAGATCCCCGTCCAGCGGCCCAGCGTCGAAGGATCGTGCTGGAGAAGAAGGATCGTAGAAGTGAAAATCTGCCCATCCCATATTTCAGCATCTTCAGCAACCTTCAGCATCAGCGCTCAGGAGGCCTTCAATCTGAAGCTCCAGGACCTGATCTTCGGCTGCCAAGGTCTCTTCAATCCGTGGCTTGCAAGGTCTTTATTGTTTCACTGGTGAATGTTGCATGGTTCTTGATATGAGGAGTTTTGTTGTGTGTGTATGTGTTTGGCACGTCAAACAAAGGGGACCTTTTTTGTAATTGGCTTCGTCCAAAGCTCTTTCCGATCGCTGATTTTAAGATTTCTGAATCGCTTGGTGATCAACCGAGAGTAGACATGTTGAGGTTGTGCAGATGCACACAGCAGTGTGGGGTGAGGGTTGTCCTGAATGATGTGGATGTGGATTCCCCATCTAATACCCAACTCGTGGATAGACATCCAGGGCCTGCCTTCCACACCTGGCTTCGCCTCCACATGCGCCATCGTATGCCCTGGTATGGTGCACATCCAACGTACCTCAAAATGGCACCCGAGGCCTTTTGTGTATCGAGGGTTCATGGCACCAGGTGGAGACGTTTTTGGTCCACCGAGACCCATGGGGTCTCGGGGTCTGGGTCATCCAGCCGGTCGACTGGCCACGCACCATCCCAAAAGAATCGGACACCAACACCAACATCACGTGGGGCGGTGTGGAATGCCAGGCTCAGACATGGCCATTTGAGACCTGGCAGTTCCAGTTAGAATGTGTTTGGAAAGTTCTGACCATCTGCCTCACTTCTCAGAATCGATGGGTCAGAGCTTTCTCATGGCGTTATTCAGAACTTTCCAGGTTCAGAGGCCTCTACCGCCCATCTTGACTCGACATTCCCTTCCACTGAGATTCACCCCTCCACATTTCGTGTTACGCGTATCTCTTTTGCTCGCTGCTGCTGGTGACCGAAAACCAAAGAGGAAAACCGAACCCTCGAAATCCATATGGCAAACGACGCCATGGCGCGCCCGTGACATCCCTCGCGGCATCCATCGCATGGCTTTTACGGCTTGGCTCAGTCTCGTGGTGTGCTCGGCCGCATCGCGGGTGTTTGACGAGACGGAGCCGGTGGATTTGCTGCAGAGGACTTTGCAGCTGGATGGCGGCAGCGAAGGTGCTGCCGCGCAGGCGGAAAGGCTGCGGAAGGTGCTGCCCATGGCTTGGATTCATGTACCGCCGCATGGCGTGTTGGAGATGACGGGGGGTGATGGGTTGAGCGCGGCACTTGGTCAAGTTGTCCTTTGGATCAAGGGAGTCTGAATGCAGGTCTCCTATACTGTACATGTTACATACTGTATAAATTCTTAATGCACACAGGACACCCACATCTGTTTGTTGTACCTTTGGAGTTGGCATGTTGGATTCAAGATTTAAGTAATTAAGAAGGCAAGGAGATGTTCTACACAGTAGGTGTTTTCCACTCAAAGCCCATGGACGACCCTCCTAATGCGAGCTTTGACTGACCTGGTGGACAGTTGGAGGGAGACAATGGAGATGTTGAATCTACCAGCAGGGGTGCTGAGAGAATGGAGGTCATTTGTTGGGTGTCGTTGATGCTCCTGTCACATCACATCAATCCTCCTGCACGTTTTAGGGGACACAAAACCATGCCAACACAGATCCACTTGTTTTTTTTTGCGATGTTACTACTGCGGATCGGGTGATGAAGCAAATCCAAGTGGATCTGCAGAAATGGCATCAGAGACTTCAGTTCATGAGACTTCAGAAATCGCATGGAACAGCTGCCTGAAAAGTGATTGCCGTCCTAGGAAATGTGGCACCTCCTTTGCGAACACCTTAGTGACCTGGCTATGTCAAAAGGGCTTCCTGTAGTGGGAAAGCAAGCGCAGGACAGCAGTGGAGAAAACCCCCAAGCTCAGTGCGTGTGTGTGTGTGTGTGTGTGTGTGTGTGTGTCACCCCCTGTACCAAAGGGTCCAATACTCAACAGGCAGGGGGCGGCAGCAGGAACGAGAGTCTGCCGCCAACGAAGACACTCTCGATTTCCTGGTGATACTGGGACTGATCATCCCAGCGTACCTGCCGTGATCACAAGCTGTGACTCCACTCTTTCCTCGTTTGTTTCCATGGTGGTTTCACACGATACCTGCCCCACAAACAGGTTTCCCTCAGCTGCTTTCAGCCGCCGCCGGTCAGCCGCGCTCTGCAGATGAAACAATTTCCATGTTGAAACACCTTCAAGTCTTTGGACCTTTCACCATGCCGTTCCATCGCCGTCCTTCCCACGGAGAAGTGAGTGTAACTTGAATACAAGTGTCAGAGTGTGTTTCGCTCAGCCGTCCCACTCGGGTGCTGAGTGTGATCCCCCGCAAGGGGGCGCCGTCTCTTTGGGAAAGCACTCACTGATTCCTCCACTTTGCACTGGAATCCCACCGGAAATCACTGACACACCCACCGAATCAACTGCCACAACGGCCGCCGGGCCAAAAAACGGCATCAAACCCCTTTGAGGCAGGTTCCCCGACCCCCCCCCCGCCATGTTCTACTCCCTACCTAATTAGGGCACACAGATGCACACAGGGAAATGGTACTCGACACACTTGTGTGTCGGTGCCTTTCCCTTTGTTGTCCCTTTTCTAGTCTACTCTACCCGGGCGGTTTAAGACTAGAGTCCCGCTCCCTAGCTAGTGCATGTAATTAATTTCCGCTAAGTATTCAGTAACCCTAGAGTGCTAAGTATTCAGACACACACATGGACATACACCCTTCCCTGCCCCCCCCTTTCCTTCTTGCGCCTCTCGTCGTTTGTTGGGCTTTTTCTCAGGCTTTTTATGTTGTTTTTCAGGCTCGTTTCCCTACCTCAGTCAAGGGCTAAGTATTCATTTTTCCTTTTTTCTACACCTATCTTTCTCTCTTGCCCTCTTAGCGCTGCTCTTTCTGCGTTTCTTTTCTTTTGTTTCTAAGGCTTTTTAGGTACCTATTCAGGTCGCACACATGAGCGCCGCCAAGCGGCCCTGTGTGTGTGTCACCTCCTGTACCAAAGGGTCCAATACTCAACAGGCAGGGGGCGGCAGCAGGAACGAGAGTCTGCCGCCAACGAAGACACTCTCGATTTCCTGGTGATACTGGGACTGATCATCCCAGCGTACCTGCCGTGATCACAAGCTGTGACTCCACTCTTTCCTCGTTTGTTTCCATGGTGGTTTCACACGATACCTGCCCCACAAACAGGTTTCCCTCAGCTGCTTTCAGCCGCCGCCGGTCAGCCGCGCTCTGCAGATGAAACAATTTCCATGTTGAAACACCTTCAAGTCTTTGGACCTTCCACCATGCCGTTCCATCGCCGTCCTTCCCACGGAGAAGTGAGTGTAACTTGAATACAAGTGTCAGAGTGTGTGTGCTTCACTATCAGTTTTTGCATTGTATTGAGTTTAAAAAATATGAGCATGTGTTGCTCTCAAGTGTTTGTTTTCAGATGTGCAAGTTGTGGTATTTCGGGAACTTTCAAGTCCTCCCTATCTCACTGATCATGCTGAACCAGATGCAATCGAGAGCCACCCACCCTATATGGATCCGTTGCCACCCTTTGAAAGGGCTTTCCGTGTTCAACCGGTTCGGTCCAGTTTTACTGAACCTGTGCGGATTTGGATCGGCCTTGGGATCAACACTGGGATACAAGGCATAGATGCCGAAAGATATGCCTTCCCAGTGTGTCAGGCATCCAAGTATCTCTGGATATGGGTGCAAAACAGGAAGACCGAACCGCCGTTCCGACCCCCTGCGAGGTTCGGAACACGGACCAGTTCATCCATAACTACACAAATACTCCCTAGTCAAATGCATACTCATATATGCAGATAGAAGATTCCTTACATATTGGATCATACAGTATTCAGTATTTGCCAGTCTCTTGATATGCCAAAAGAAACTCCACTCATTTCCCATGTTGGAGTCACAGAGCTCGGGGTGGTTTGGTTCGTCCCATCCAGGGGCCGTGGATGAGTCGGAACCGGCACCCCTGTCCCTCAAGTGACTCTTGGACTCAGGTGGGCATGCCCCACTTTTGCCCCGACGCTCCGGAGAACTACGACGTCGAGTCCTCCGCACCTGACGGGTGCTTATTCAGGGTCTTTGCCCCAAACGTGTGCAAGTCGTTCTGCGATCAAAACTATTTGCACTGCCGCTGGTCCAGCAGGTGTTGTTCTTTGTTTCACCAAATGTTTCTGTTTGTTCGTTTCCGTTTTTGGTTTGACATGTGTGTTTCTCCTGCTTGCTTTTGTCTTGGATGCAGAGCACCCTTCTTTGTTTGTGTGTGTTAAGGTTATTTTGCTTATTATGCTGGTGTCTCAAGAGCAGAATCCGATCATCATTGGATTATTTGTTTGAACTCGTGTGAAATGATCCCGTGAAATCATGCGCTTGAGATCATACTCGAGGTTGGAATGGCAAGGATGGGAACAACTATCATGCCTTCGTGGGCAATGAAAGTCAATACTTGAAAGTGAAGGGCCATATGGTGGGCCTCTTCCGCCAACCGGAGCAACGTTTGTTGTCTGCCTACTACGATGCTCGGACCCTCTTCGGTCAGGTGTCTGCGGCGGAGACGGGAAGCCTGCCCCCCAAGATGGAAACTCATGTTCACATGTACCAGCACCCAACGACTCTACAGGTCTCCTAGACTCAAAAGTGGCTTTTGTAGACTTAAACGTTGCAGGTGGTGACCCGGCAGGTCTCGGCTGCTGGTATGGAAATCACATCAAATCTGTAATCTGAGATCTGGATGCGTCAATCGACCACGAGTGACCGGTGGCCAGTGCTAACATGTGCTAACCATCACATGGGTCAGTCATCCCCAGCTGCAACACAGCTGCAAACCATGTATATATATATATTTCGATCCTGTATAAATGATCAATGTCGATCATGTGACGTACACATAGTTCTCCCCCAAAGAGAGACCGTGGAGCAACTTCCAGGCATCATTTCACCACAACAAGGATCTACCAACAGAGGTATTCAGTGACCTTATAAGACCCGTAACCTGGGGTACCCAACTGGGATAGTCTGTAGGGTCCTTCAACCTTTGTTGGTACTTCCAGCATTCGAAGTCTCCGATGATGTGACAGTTTCGGGTTCTCGTCCGATGTCGCCTCG